CATCTGTTATCTCTACAATCAGGCTTTTATATCCACTGCTTTATCTTAAGTGCTGTTCACAAGGTCTCACCTATCTCTATGCTGCCAAATCCAAAGGTCAGTTTTCTCATCTGACTCCACCTCTCAGAACGAATGACACACTTAGGCACTTCCTCCTCTCCTAAACATTATCTTAGTGTCCAGGAATCTTTGGCTCCAGCTTTCTTCTTGTTGCAGGATGGCTTCTGTGATGATAACCAGATTCTTGATGTTTCAGACAAAGAATTGAACAAAACATGCCAATAGTGAAAGAAAAAAGTAGTTTCTTAAGTAAAAGTGAAAGTATGCTCCCGAGAGGTAGGGGCAGGCGACAAAGAAAGGGCCCAAAAGCCCAGGCAGTGGCGTTCTGCAAGGTCCCTACCTTTTCAATCTAGGTTGTATCGATTGATGAATGGCTGGACCCACTGATTGTTCTCATCTCATTGGCTCTATCAAAGCCTGGGCCCACTGATTTATCTCATTGGCTCTATCGAATATGGCTTAATCAGCTAGACATCCCCCACTACTCTTGCCTACTTTACCTTGGGCATTGAAGTTTCTGCCAGATCAGTTTTTCTCCCTAGCCCCATGGACAGACACTCTAGCCCCCACACCTGCTTCCATTTCTTAGCTTTTTCCTGCTTCATTCCCCCTGATTGCCCTTCTAAGTTGCCCTTCTTAGTTGTCTCATGTCTACAGTTCACATGACTAGCCTTAGGATTTCTTACTTTGCTGCAATTATGCAATTAGTTTCCTAGGTCAGTAACTTTTGTGACTTTCAAACTGTATGTCACAACTGTTACTAGATTAAAACATCAACTGAATTAGGAGCAAAGAAAAAATTATGAATGTTTTTGCTCACAGGAAAAAGACCGAGAGAGGCAGTGTGGGGGAAAGTGAGAAATCACTCCTGGGGGCGGGGGATGGCCATGCTGCAATCTCTTCTCCATTCTTCTCAGGATTTTGGGTAAGCATGCACCCGCACCTCGTGTGATTTTCAAGCTGCCAGGTCTGAGACTTGAACTGTGATCAGCCATGTGGGAGTACCTTCCTCACCACACCACCTGCTGACTGCCCCCCCCCCATTTAAAAAAATATGTATCAAGTAGAAGAGAAAGAGAATAGGAAGGGTAAATTTACTTCTGGAAACTTTTAAGTAATTTACATGTATTTGGTCAATATGTAAAATATATTTTGTATCCTACTGAGGATAGGTTCCATACATTGAACTCTCTTCCTCCCTCCCTCCCTCCCTCTCGGCTTGCTCTCTCTCTCTCTCTCTCTCTCTGAGACCTGGCCGTTAGTCCGACTAGACCTGGTGAACATTGCATGTCCATTCCCTTACCCCATGGAATTGGCTTGTGACTGGAGGCATTCTGGAGGCATGCACCCCTCCCCAGTGTCAATATCCCCAGATCAGAGGCACGAAGTTAATGTACAAGCTTCGACAACTCTGCTAATCGATAACTTATTGTCATCCTCAAACAATGTTTGTAAGAACCAGATCTCTGCCTTGGAGACAAGGAGTCTGCTGATCTTACAGGGATGAATGCACTCTTCCACCTTAACGTATATAACCAGAGCCTTTGCTCCTGGCTGCGCAGACCAGTCTCCATGCGGCCATCAGCAGAGCTTCCCTAGTAAGAAAACTTATGTCTTCCCCTGCAGGACCTCTGGGTGTGTTCTTTGGAACTGGTAAACATAGGCAAGACTTTTCAAATCTGGGACTCCCCTTATACCTGGGTAGAGGTCAAAAGTATGAAGGTTACTGCTCTGTGTTATTTCATTCAATCCTGTAACTTTAAATACAATTGACCAACCAATCTCCCTGCTAAATTCCAGTCTCTTCTATCCAGCTGCTAACTTTACATCTTCATTTGGATGTCTAGTAGGTGTATCAAATTTAGCATGCCCCAAATGAAATTCTGGGTTCTCTTCTACTCCCCCAGACTGCACAGAACCCTTTTTCTCTCCTCAATAAATCACATGTCCATTTTTTTGGTTGTATAGACCAAAACCCTTGGAATCAACTTTCACTCTATTTTCATATCCATGTCTAATCAATATGCAATCCTATTAGTTCCACCTCTAAAACATACCAGACCTGGGGCCAGCAGGTGGCACAGTGGTTAAGGTGCTGGGCTCCCACATGTCTGGCCATAGTTTGAGCCCTGGACTTGACGGTTTGATTTCTCTCTTTCCTTCTCTGTCTCTCTCTGGTGAGCACATATGCTCTGTAGCAAATTAAAAAAAAATCATAATGATAAATAAAAACTAAATAGTTCTTTTAAAAAAATACCAGACATTGGGACCAGCAGTTAGCATAATGGCTCTGTCGCTGAACTCCCATGTAGTTGACCACGGTTCGAGTCCTGGACCCAGTGGCTTAAACTCATGCCGGGCGTGTGTGTGTGCGTGCCCAAATCCCGAGAGGAGAACAGAGGAGAAGGGATTTAGGCATGGTCATTCCCCCTGAGGGGGGGGGTGATTTCTCGCTTTCTGTCTCTCTCTGTCTTTCTGGCGAGTGCATGTGCTCTATAGCAAAAACCTCTAAAAAAAAAAAAAAAAAAAAAAAAAACCAGACATGATGTGAAACAAAAATTGTTATCAGTTTAGTGTAGGAAGGCTAAACCCCAGAAAGACTGAACAAAGATAGTAAAACTTATCTTTAGGTTACTAATAAAAGGGAAAAGGGATTTCAATTTGGAATCAGTAAACATGAAGTCAGGGCTGGCTCTACCACATCATAGTTTTTGTGAGCCCTTAGTAGGTTTCTGTCCGTCTCTTCTCCGTTGCAAGTTCCCCGTTATTTTTTACATTTATCAGTCTAGTGGGAACACTAGTACATTCACCATGTTAGGTGAAGGCCATTGTAGAGTCACATATATTTGCAATGTTTTATTGAACGTAACACATTTTGTTGTTCGCAATGAAGACAGCCTAAATAAAACTAGAACTTGTTTATATATTTAACCATTTGGTGGAGAGCTGGATGTTAATGGCTCTCAGAATAGCTCCCTCACTTGGCTCAAGCCTGACTTCCTTCTTGAGTAACACCCCCAGCCTACAAATCCTACGAAGGGGTAGGCAGTCCCTGTGTGGCTGAGGCTATGGAACAGCAGCGTATTAGGAGTTCCCATTAACACAAGCAGGGAGGATCTGCAGTGAAGCTGTCGCCACAAGACCAGTAACTTCCTGAAACGAGCACCCGGTCACATGGGAGCAATTCCCTCACTGGCAGTTTTTTCCCAGTTGTGCTTTGTTTCCTTGCTAGTAATCCCATCCTTAACCGGAATCCAGGTGGCGAGAATTCAGACCCGGGGGGCCAGTGGGTGATCTTAGTGGCTAACACACTGGACTCTCACATGGCCAGCCATGGTTTGAGCCCTGGACCTGGTGGCTTGAAAATCAATTTGGATGTGCATGCCCAGAATTTGGAGAGGAGACTGGAAGAGAAGGGATTGTGGTATGGCCATTCCCTCGGAGGGGTGATTTCTCATTTTCCCTCTGTCTCTGGCAAGTGCACGTGCCCTATGGCAAAAACAACTAAAAAAATTTCAACCCAGGACCTGGATATATTAAAGTTGGAGGTCCCCTTTCCTTCAGGGACATTGTATGTGTTGGGGACTTTGTTGTGCAGCCATGATCTTATTCCATCCCACGACTTCAGCAGATCTATCTATCTATCTATCTATTTTAATAGATGACGAGAGGCTCAGAAAGGTTAAGTCTGTCTCCCAGATAGTAATGGCTGAGCCAGGACCTAGCTTTTGCCTCTTCAGCCCTTCTTTGTAACTAACAGACCCCTCTGCAACTAAGAAGGTTCTGCCACTTCCTCCCGAAGGAAGCAGGCAGGTTCCACATCCACAGATTAGTCAACCAGCTTTTGTTTACCAGGCACGGCTCTGGCTCAGGCAGAGTAACTGCAGATATTCTTCCTGCCTTCAGGGGACATCTGCTGTCAGAAGCAGCACAGCCAGCCAGGTCGTGGCCACTGGCCTTGATAACCCACTTTACACAAAGAGGAGTATGGAGAAAACGCATCCTTACGTTTTCAACTCTTCAGAATGCGGCACTGTACGCGGGTTATAGCAAGTTTTGACTTTGCTGTAACGTGGAGGTTACTTTGAGCCCAGTGTTTCCACCGGACAACCTGCTGTCAGCCAAGAGTGCGAGGTAATCAGAATCACGGGGAGGGCCTTGATTAGCTGTGTGAGCACTCCTGGACAGAACGGCTCCGGAACTTTTCAGAGGGATTACTCACGAGTGAATTCACTAAGAAATAATCCAAACTTAGTCTTTTATGCAATTTATAGTAAGTACTATGGAAGTGGCTGCAAGTTTACCTGTGCAAAGTTTGGAAAACGAATCCCCGCGCGCATTAAAACATAATTTAAAAGTCCGAAGTCCCAAAGCCTTCCTCTGGCGGGGAGAGGAGCTTGTGCGCACCGGCTTCCACGCCAGGTTAGGGAGCTAAGCGAACACCGCGGCACGCCAACGCAGACCCAGCGCGCGCTGACTCCGCGCGCAGTCGCCTTGTCGCCTTCCGAGGACAGCCTCATAAAGCCGGGCTGAGTTCCCGAGCCGCCGGCGTCCGGGCCCGGGAGCCACCGAAGGCCAGGCCGGGCGGGCGGCGGGCGCAGAAGGCCGCCCCCGCCGCCACACACCCACTCCCAGCGCGGCGGCGTCGCCCGGGCAACGCCTCTTCCCAACCCCCGGGCGGCACGTGACGTAAGCGTCACGTGACAGGCCCGTCGGCGTCCTCCCGCGGAGGGGCGTAAACAGGCGCCCGGCTGGTCGAGGTGCGGCCCTGCTGCGTCCGCGTATCCGGCATGCCCCAGGCGGGC